GAATCTTGACTTCGCAGGTCTACGAAGAAACAGAAGTGCAGGTGGATGGTGAAACTGTCAGCAAAGCACTTCAATCCATTGAAAGAGTCAAGGAAGAATTTTTTTTAATCCCCCAACAAGTTGATGCATGTCTGTCTATATATGAAGAAAAGGCAAAGTGGTTTACACAACAAGTTGGAGGGCCAGCTGACTAGTGACAGTGATTGTGGAGCATGTCGCTTTCTCATCAATTATTTAAGATCTATGGAAGATATGATACAGGAGATAAGAATATGATTGCTGTTATCGACAATCTCTCTGTTATAATATATCTAAGAACATAGAATCTGCACAAGATATGCAGATGAAACCATGGAAATGGCCAAAGTGACAGCGCTTTCATCTCTAGAGATTTATATCTATGAATAAATTGTTTTGTCTAATAAGACCGGAAGAGATCAAAATTAGGATGATTAGAAATCACCTTTTGACGATTATTGCAAGAGACCCATGCTTCCAATCTATTATACTGATCAGGGAGTATTGTTACAGCTGTTATGGTCACTGTTAGTGCAGATTAAGAGCAGCTGGAAGATGGTTGGACACGTGCTAGAAGTTGTTAAGAGTCGGTTAGAGCTGGTTAACGATAGAATAAATCGTGTAATGATGCAATGTGGGGAGGTATTTAATGGTAGGAGCTAGGATTGCGTAAGAGTCATATCTACGTACGGGTGGGTATTCTCTGTCTCCCATACCTACCTTAATACTCATTTGACATGCATAATGGGTAATGGGTAAATTGGACCTACACGTACGGGTGGGTGCGGTGTGTTTGGGAATGCGCATTCCCTCAAAATAAAAAAGACAATGCCTCTGGTTACTTTTAATTACACACCGCACCCAAATAAATTTTATGATAATCTTTATTGGAGAAGAACACGGCTTGAACATCAAAAGAACACGACGTCCGTTTTGCCTCCAAATCTGCATAAAATTAATCTAGGTTCGCAAACATACATGGAAGGACCGACTTTTTGCCCATGTTTTGCCCCGATCACAGCTTTTAAGTGATCACCCGCGGATGAAAATCACATGTTATTTTCCTACACATCACCCAATTCTCTCCTTGACGAATCAATCAAAAGGGGCTGGTGATCGGGACTTAATGCAAGGGATTCCAACCGGTAATATTCTGATATTTATTCATAAAAAGTCAAGTACACTAACAAAATATTTAATGTGGTTCGACAAACCACCTACATCCACAGAAGAAGCTATTTTATTATATAAAAAAAAAACAAGATTTACAACAATAGAGAAGGAGGAATCATTCACTCTTGCAATTCTCAATCTCATTTCTTTTTTTTCTTTGCATTGCTGCAATAACAGCTACTGCTTGCTGTATGTAGTAGCACACTTTCTCTTATATTTCTCTCCTCTTTGATTCTATTACCTCTCTCATTGCATTAGGAAATTACATGGAGAGTTCCCACCAAAGAAAGGGGAAGCCAGCGCCATATGGCTCTCAGTTGTTGCAGAGTCAAGCTAATTAAGAAAAAATTAACATAGAGAAGAGATTAGTGCTTCTTGCTAATTAAGCTAATTTTTGCATTCCGTCCTCTTCGATTCACTAGATATTTTTGCATACGAATCAAGGTAAATAATTAAGGACCACTGTCTACTTAATTACCAAGTCAATAGAAGACGGTAGCTAGGGAGTCTTCATTCTGAATTTTCCAAGTCAATAGAAGACAATTATTAGCTGGACACTTCGAGCTACAATTCTTAGTATTATTCAATATTTTCTAAATGCATGCAAACCAAAAGAGACCAACGAAAACCTTGCAATTATTTTCGAAGACAGTAAAAAACAAGCCGGCCAATAAGAGAAAAAAGGGGGGTCGAGAAGCCGTACAATTTAAGCTACCATTCTTTCTTGTAAAGTTCCCATCACGCAAATTTCCGGGTCCTGCCAATAAGTAGAAGACAATATCTAGTAAAACGAGCAGCCTCAAACTCCAAAGAGTAGCCAGCCAACGAAATCAATGGCCTAATAAAAAACTCTCAGGTCAATAGAAGACGGTGCTAGGGACTCTTCATTTTGAATTTTCCAAGTCAATAGAAGACCAGATGGCCAATAGGAGAAAACATGGGGGTAGAAAAGATGGACACTTCAAGCTACAATTCTTCATTGTCAAGGTCCCGTCACACAAACTTCACAGCCCCGGCAAATAGTAGAAGACAACAATATCTAGAGGAATGAGCGGCCTAAAACTCCAAAGAATATTAGCCAAAAAAATCAAAGTCCTAATAACATCAATTAAATCATATTAGCTTGAAAAACAATTTAATGTCACTTTATTATAGGATAACATCATTTAAGTATTTTTATAACAATTTAATAGGATAATTACATCATTAATATCTTGCATGCTTGCTCCTGGAAAATCTAAAAAAATTCCAACATATTCATGTTGATTATGTGAAAGATAAATGTGTTGCTTGGAGATCTAGCCTTTACAAAGAAGAATATTTTCATATGAGATGAGCTGCTTATATTATCAATCTTGTTGAATGAGATGGATTGGGTGAAGTAGGTGATTTGATAAAGCGAACTCGAGGGCCAGACGAGAGATATGTAAGAGGCTAGGTGTCAAGATTGAGTCCAGATGTTAGTACTTGGTAGAAATCTACGTATATTATGTTAGTACTTAATTAAAAATAATCATAGAGGAAATGAGAAGTGAAAAGTGGGGATAATAATGTTGGGAATTTGTTTAAAACACATGCTTAATGGGTATCAAATTAAAAATAGATTCTATTAATTTTTTAGGTTAAAACTTTATTAGAATTTCATCTTCAATATATAATTTATTAATTTACATGTTTTGTAAAACTCAAAATTCTTTAAAGAATTTTATTTCACATAAAAAAAAAAACAAAGTTTTCCCAATGTTTATAAAATAGTTAATTAAAAAGTTAAAATTTAGCTTAAAGGGATCCCAAAGTTTTAGAAGGAAGAGGTATTAGGACAATGAATTTTAGGGTTAAACACAAGTGCTAGTGTGGCCCAACTCATATTCAGGCCTAGATTTAGATTTATTATAAAATAATATTTTAAATTAAAAAAATATTATTTTTTTGCAAACTAGGACTTGGACCTAGGTCTAGTCCAGGAAGAAGTATTTATCCAACCCATTGTTTGTCTAGTTCAACTCATAAATGATAATCCCTTCCAAAAGTTTTTATTACAAATTTAAACAATTTTTTTATCTTAAAAAATATAGATTTATGGCAACTATATTAAGATTTAATTATTGATTTACGGTATATAGTTAATCAAATGTTGATAATGTGGGAATTAATTTTGATTATTACCAGGATTAATTCTTCAATATTTTTTAGCTTTCAAAATCAACTATAAAAAGGAGGTGAATGAAGAGTTTTCAACAATTTTTTCATATTTTAATGCACTATTTCTCATCTCATATTTTATTGTTTTTTTTTTCTTTTTATATGCTTTGATTTTTCTTTCAAATCTAGAGTTTAGATTCATCTTGTTGAGAGATATTTGAGTTATATAATTTTTAGTTCAAAGACTTTGTTTAAAAATGCATTTAAATTAAAGTGGCGGTGATAGAATCTAGGTAGGCATATTAAAAAAATTTAATTGTACAAGTAAGGAGTAATAAAATTTTAATAATAAAAGATTCATTCTTAACAATATCAAAAGTAATTTCATTACTTTAGAGTGTTTCCACAAGCAAGTATTATTTTTTATTTTAATTTAAATATATTTATTTTTATTGTCAATATATATACTAGGACTTTAATTTCATATCAATAGCAAGTTTAAATAAATGCGTAATATATATGTTTGTAATCTTTGTTCCATTCTTGATTCCTACAGGAGTTTCTTGACTCAATTAAATATAATGTTTTTTAATAATCCCATCCAATTATCAACGATATGTAAGGATTATGAATACTACCTATTTCTATATTGATATGATATTGTTCACTTTGAGCCTAAGTCCTTATATCAATAGCAAGTTTAAATAAATGTGTAATATACATGTTTGTAATCTTTGTTCCGTTCTTGATTCATATAGGAGTTCCTTGACTCAATTAAATATATTTATTTTTGAGTTATATAATTTTTAGTTCAAAGACTTTGTTTAAAAATGCATTTAAATTAAAGTGGCGGTGATAGAATCTAGGTAGGCATATTAAAAAAATTTAATTGTACAAGTAAGGAGTAATAAAATTTTAATAATAAAAGATTCATTCTTAACAATATCAAAAGTAATTTCATTACTTTAGAGTGTTTCCACAAGCAAGTATTATTTTTTATTTTAATTTAAATATATTTATTTTTATTTTCAATATATATACTAGGACTTCAATTTCATATCAATAGCAAGTTTAAATAAATGCGTAATATACATGTTTGTAATCTTTGTTCCGTTCTTGATTCATATAGGAGTTCCTTGACTCAATTAAATATAATGTTTTTTAATAATCCCATTCAATTATCAATGATGTGTAAGGATTATGAACACTACCTATCTTTACATTGATATGATATTGTCCAATTTGAACCTAAGTCCTTATATCAATAACAAGTTTAAATAAATGCGTAATATATATGTTTGTAATCTTTGTTCCATTCTTGATTCCTACATGAGTTCCTTAACTCAATTAAATATAATGTCTTTTAATAATCCCATCCAATTATCAATGATGTGTAAGGATTATGAACACTACCTATCTCTATATTGATATGATATTGTCCACTTTAAACCTAAGTCCTTATATCAATAGCAAGTTTAAATAAATGCGTAATATACATGTTTGTAATCTTTGTTCCGTTCTTGATTCATATAGGAGTTCCTTGACTCAATTAAATATAATGTCTTTTAATAATCTCATCCAATTATCAATGATGTGTAAGCAACTATAAACACCATCTATCTTTATATTGATATGATATTGTTCACTTTGAGCCCAAGTACTCGTATCAATAGTAAATTTAAATAAATGTGTAATATACATGTTTGTAATCTTTGCTCCGTCGAAGCTGTGACCGTAGATTTTGTTAGTTATGAAGGCAAGCTTTCCTCAGATGACTACTCAAAACAATTCCGAGCTGCGGTGACACGAAAATTGCCAGAACTCGTTGCAGAACTAAACAATTCTTCTGGGCATCCAATAAATTGCCTTCTGTATGACTCCCACTTGCCTTGGCTTCTAGACACAGCTAGGCAGCTTGGCCTCACTGGGGCTTCGCTCTTCACACAATCATGTGCTGTTGACAATGTCTACTACAACGTTCATGAGATGCAGCTAAAGATTCCACCAGAGAAGTTGCTGGTAACACTTTCACGTTTGCCAGCACTTTCACCACTGGAGATTACCGATCTACCATCATTCGTGCAAGGTATGGATTCAGAATCAGAATATTCATTTCTACTGAACCATGTGGTCGGTCAGTTTTCGAATTTCAGGGAAGCTGATTGGGTCTTTGTCAACACTTTCAGCGCCCTGGAGGAAGAGGTGCCTCTAAAGATTTCCTCTATATATGAAATGCATGTCTTGATCTTAGTACATATATAAATTTTAACAAAGCAAACAAATGTGCAATCAAACAAGCAACTAGTCAACAACTGATTGACAAGCAAAGCAACATATACGAGAGCAGCAATGCTTCAAATTCCTATTTAAATTCTTTGTTCTTTGTTCTTTGTTCTTTGTTCAATGGATGATACCATATTTTCAAAGTATGCTCCTTTTACTTCTGTGGCACTCAAAATTTTGTTGATTTTCATCAGGCAGTAAACTGGTTGGCAAGCCAAAGGTCAATAAAGCCAATAGGACCATTGATTCCATCATTTTACTTGGACAAGCAGCTGGAGGACGATAAAGAGTACGGTCCCAGCCTCTTCAAACCCAATCCGGACGGTTGCAATGAGTGGCTAGATTCAAAGGAAAATGGCTCAGTGGGTTATTTGTCATTTGGAAGCATGGCGGCACTGGGAGAGGAGCAAATGGCAGAAATTGCTTGGGGGCTAAAGAGGAGTGACTGCTGCTTCTTGTGGGTAGTCAGAGAATCGGAAAGGAAAAAACTTCCTAGCAACTTTGTGGAGGAGTCATCAAAGAAATCTCTGCTTGTGACCTGGAGCCCGCAGCTAGAGGTTCTAGCTCACAAGTCTGTTGGTTGCTTCATGACTCATTGTGGGTGGAACTCAAAACTCGAGGCATTGAGCTTAGGAGTGCCGATGGTGGCAATGCCACACTGGACTGATCAACCAACAAATGCAAAGTGCATTGCCGATGTTTGGCATGCAGGCATTAGAGTGAAGGAAAATGAAAAGGGGATTGTCACTAAAGAAGAGGTAGAAGGGTGTATAAGGGAAGTCATGGAAGGTGAAAGAGGGAATAAGATAAGAAGGAACTCTGAGAAATGGATGAAACTAGCTAAAACAGCAGTCGATGAAGGCGGAAGCTCTGATAAGAATATTACAGAATTTGCAGCAGAACTTGCAAGGAAGTTCCATGAAACCAAAGATTCAAAAGTGTGAAAGCCTACATATGCATGGCCTTAAAACTTTGAATATGCATCTTATTTAGTTGATGTAGTTTGCCTCAATCATATACTTGATTACACATCCACCATATGCAAAAGCATGATTTCTCAATCTGAAGAATAAACTTGCACAGAGCGTTTTATTTCCAAAGGCACGAGATATAACTGTCACACCCAGTATATCGATTTCTTGTTCTGTACTGTGTACCTATATCATTTATATATTCATCAGAATTCACTTTTACAGCACTAGCAAGCATGCCCACCTTTATCAATGAGCTGGTAAAACCAAGGTTACTTGCATATATATGACCCTAACAGATATGGGTCAGGTATAAGCCCCACGTCAAAAAAATTGCTCAAAGACTCTTCTACGGGTCCTTATCACATTAGATGGCATGCCATTTTATCGTTAAATAAACTATTCGTCAGCTAGGGTACTATCCTGACAACAGCTAGCAGGAAAGAATTTGAAGGAAATTTTTTTTACATCTTCCTCTCTTCAGTTGCTTTGGCATCTTCCGTCCAACTGCCTAATTTGACAATGTCTTCCACAAGAATCTTTCCATCTGTTCGATTGAAAATGATCTCGGTATCAGTTATACAAGGTAAAAAAGAAAACAATACTAAATTTGGCAAATGCTCAACAAAATGACAAGAAGCAGAGAAAAAGTACAAGGTAGAAGAAAAGCATCATGTTAATTTTCTGAACCTTGATAGATTTCCACAAGCAACTCAAAACACCCAATTGGATTGAGAAAATTATCTGTTGACTAGGTTCTTGGTAAATAAGAGGTATAACTTGTTTGCTTTAGCGGTGAAGAAATATTTTTTCATGTGGCATGGTAAAAAGATGAAAAATGATAAGATGTCTTTTATAATTACGCAAAATAATATGTGGCTTCTTAGAACCAAAACCAGTTTGCATGTAGGAGCTGAGCTCAAGAGAACAAATGCATTAATCCTCTCATAAGAAGAAAGAGATGAATGTTGAAACACACATTCAAAATGATAAAAGCATAAACAAAAAATAGAATGACTAGCCGACCTCTATCTTTGGAAAGATTGCTGATGAGTTCTAGGATGCCTTCCTTGCCTAATGTATCCTTCAAGTACATCGCAGCAGCTGCCACCTCCTCAGGAGTAACTTTCCCATCATAATCCCTGCATACAAGTAAGATTACTGGATGAGAGTGCAATCACCGGATGGAGTTCATAAACCATCTTATTCCCTGTATTTGCATCCCTCTGCTGCATACTAGTCAACAACACTCATTTCTGAGACATTCCTTAAGCCCACTCCAGCCTATCACCTAATGCTAGTTCAATAGACTACCTCTTGGCTACTTCAGGTGCAAGAAGTCATGAATTGTGAATGCTAAGTTCATTTAGAACTACCTTCAATGACCTGCCCACCCCAGTCTATCACCTAATACTAGTTCAACAGATTACCTCTTGGCTACTTCAGGTTCACGAAGTCATGAATGGTGAATGCTAAGTTCATTTAGAACTACATTCAATGACCTTGAATTGATGGGGCTTCTATAGACTGTGCCCATTACACATAATTAAGTTTTTTAGACTTTATCATAAAATAAAATGCAAGCATTCAAAGCACCTACAGGGAAAAAAAAATAGAGCATTATAACTAAAAACAAAACATTGCTGCACCTGTCGAGTATTCGCCAACGATCACCAATTTTGGCATCCACATCATCAATTTCTTTCTCAAGATTTTGGAGCATGCCATCAACCTTAAAAACAAAAGGCAGCATAACAGTTAACAGCTAGAAAGATTTTACAAAATGTAGATTTGAGCTCAACTAGTAAAATAATCTGAGAGCATTACCCTTTCTATTAGTGCAGAAGAAACGTCGTCTCGTTCATCCACTTCAGAAGCTCGATCAGTTTCCTCTCGAGCAGCTCTATATGCCTTAACAGCCTCCTTTTCACCATCATTTCCCTCTTTTTCTACCATGCTATTATAAAGTTCTATCTGAAAACATAAAATGATCAAAAGAAGAGCTGAGTGATCATGCTGTTACAAATCCAGCTCACATTTCCATGACCTATAGGTAAGAAAGACTATGTACCACACAGTTCACTTGATTTCTCAAGCAAATAGATGAAAAATAATAGACACACATACCAGAAATTGCAAATCAATAAAACCATAAGACATTAGACACTCAAGGTTTATATTACCTCCTTGTTGACAAGGCCCAGGAACTCCTCACGCTCTCTGCTTACTGACTGCAAGAATAGTAGAATATAGAATTGAAAAACTACAGAGAAGATCACCAAAACTATGATGGAAAGAAACAAATAGCAAAACCTTGACCACTAAAACTTAGTAGCATGACAATACTTACAGATGCTGAAGCTAAAACAGCCAATGCACGACTAAGTTCACAGAGATGCTCTTGTTTCTCCAATGTACTTGCTCTAGCCAGTTCTTTTGCTTCTCTTGTTGTTGACAGAGTCATCTCTTTCAAAGCTACATCCTCTTCACTAACTTTAGACTCTTTCATTCTGGCACGCTCTTCTTCCTCGTCCTCTTCTTCCTCCTGTAAGTTATCAATTGAGAAAAAGCTTAGGCACTTCAAAAGAAATATCAATATGAAGAAATAAAAGCTCTTATGCTGCTAACTATATGAAGTAAACTGCAGCCAATTTTCAACCTTGATCATTTCTTCCTGCATCTCAAGGTATTCCAGTTTCCTTCTTCTTTCTGAAACAGAATCTTCAGATGGTAAAGCAGTAACACCAACAGTATCCACAACCTCATCAGGTAACGAAGATAGTGTTGCCCGAACAGCTTCCTCAGGTTTCACTTTTCCAGATACAGTGAAGGCCCTGCACGTGTTACACAGGCCGTAAAACTCAGAGGGGGTAACAGGCTAAAATATACATGAGAAGAAAAGGTTTCATGTGGAACAAAATGATGAGGAAACAACAGGATTAATGTAAGAGGAGAGGATTCACCTTGAAAGGATCAAAAGGGAAGATGGCACAGAGTGATTGAGAGACAGATCCAACCAATCACGAAGCTGAAAGGAAAAGTCAAGAAGTTAACATACCAGTACATGGATATTCAATTTGTAATATTCAATCACATACCAGTAAGGATGATTTACAATGAAAACTAAGAGCAAACAGTTTCCTTGAACTCAAACCCCCACCCCCTTTTAGGAAAAAAATGGTTGAAACAATGGAGTTATAGAACTGAAAAGGTTTGTTAATAATTCAACATAAGCATACACCAACCCAAAGTTTATATATGCCATTTTAGATATGCAAACAAACATATTCTTGAAATCATCAACATCCGTTTAAAACCTGAAAAACTGTATGATGAAATGGAAAAAACAAGGTGTTAAACACAAAAACCTGTTGCCGCATTTCTTCAACTGAGAGCAATCCAAGCATGCCTCTCTCCCTACAATCTTCACGAAGTTCAGCCTCTGAAAGAGACTCCACACCCTCTGCTTGAATTAACATGTCATCATTCTTAATCCTGGAAACAGAATAGTATGATGAACCAACAGGATAATCTCTTTAGTGAAAATCAACAGAAGCAGAGAGGTTAACCAAACACAACTAAGTTCTTCATATCACTTAAAACAACCAAATATTTTTCTTACTATCAAATTCCAGATACAGAAAGCTCAATAAACTATTTAGTTAACCACCAGTATCTAGAAACTTTACTATGCCATGATCCATGCTAAAATAAGAATCCACTTTAGCACAGCCAGCGTACTCTCATTCTGTCTCCCCTCAGGCCAACCCAATCTATTTGGTCCTAAGTGAGGTAACAGGCACTCATCCATTCATTCAGAGCAAAATACAAACAGCTAACCTCTGGAGTCTTTTGCGGAGCATGTAACGCAAATACGCATCTGTTCCGAAAGGACTGATTCCCATGTATTTGCACATATTGACCAATCGAGGCCTGGAAGAAGGAAAATACAGGAAAGGGAGAAGCATGTTCCTCAGCAAGCAGATAATATATGTATTAAGCAAATCAATAAGATGCATTAAAATAAAAAGGACATTAAGAAAAACACCAACCTGCTAATATTGTCCAAAGTTAATTCATCATTGAAAAGCTTAGCAAAGCCCAAAATTTCATCATTAGAAACAATGGAGCCTCTCCTAACCTGCAAAATTATTGCAGCGTGTATAGTGGTGAATATTAACATGAACATAAATTAAAAACAAAAAAAAGAAAGAATTTAAAAGTAAACAAATTATCCTGTGGAGTAGAAGCTAAAGCTAATTTTCTTACGTTGTTCAAAAAATCATCAAGATCTTCAGCAGTTTTCTTAATTTCTCCACTTCGTGAGTTCTGAACTTCCTTAGCCATTTCTTTCACTGTATCCTGAAGAAACTTGGCATATTCTATTCTTGCATTTAGCCTCCTTTTCAATGCTTCCTAAGTTGACAAGAGAGCAACATGTGTGGTTAAAGGGGACAAATGAAGAAAAACCCTGAACACAAGCAAAGTTCCATATGCATATGGAATTGGGGTGAAAACCAGTCCAACCAAACCAAGCATTGATGTGTTCAGTCCTGGTTGGTTAAATCTTGTTGATTTCAAACTCAAACAGACCTAAAATCTAGCTCTCAAACCTAGCTTCAGCTTGTTAAGGGAAGGAGCTTGAGGTTGCCCTTGTTATTAAACTAAGTAATTATATGAAGAAAGAACTATAGAAAACTTTTTCAATATCCGACTAGGATACATGAAAGCTTACAAAATGCAAAGAAAACGTGCATCCTTTGGTAAAGTAACATGCATCCTTATTTTCTTTTTCATTTGAAATTTCATATGAATGCAACCAATATCAATCAGTAGCTAACAACTATAAACAAGCCAGGTAGCAAGTTTAATCCAAGCCCATCCTCAAAAATGTTTGAGGGCCAAAACAACTGACCACAGCATGGTTTGAACTTGGATATTCACTAAACAAGTCTCAAATCAAGCTTCGATATGTTTTCATATATCTATAACAAGCTAAATTCAGCATTGCTCATAGTGAACAAAATGTATTTGCAGCCCTATTACAAGTGAATATTTGTGGATACATATTAGCATAACATGTCTGTTCTAACATAAACTAATTTCATCACTGTACTCATTTCAATAAAACTAGAGACACAGTAAAGATCTGAAGCATAACATTAACCAACAAATAAATTATAAATTGCAATGCCCACCAAAATCCATACCTGCTCTTTCATCTTGTCTTGAAATGTCGATGGCAACATGTTAGGGAACAACTTCAAAAACACCGGTAACAGAAACTCCATGAACGGAACAATGATAAAAACAGCAAATGGAACTAATCTGAAAATATCTGCAGTAGTTCTCGTCAACTGTTGCCTCTCCCTCCTCGACAAACTCTTCCCACCAGCAAGTTTTAACAACAATCTCGAACTAATCCTCACATCAGCCCACAATAGCTTAAACCCTAACCAATAATGCTGCAATGTCGACACAATTTCATGCTTCCAGTGCACAAGTTTCTTCGCCCAATCCTCCCTAAAAACCCACAAAAACACAGATGTCAGTCCACATAACAAAACACACCAATTAACACAACACAAAAAAGGAAACCTTTTTCATCGAGTTTTCAACCTGCTCATCGACGCTACAGCTCGTAAAGCCGGGCCAAGACCAAGAAGAGCAGCCCAAGTTCTCTGCAAAACCGACTTCTCAGCTTTCATAGATTCATTCAACCTCTTCGCCTTCGCCTTCGCCTTCGCCGAACTCAATCCCTCCACCGCTTGATCACACTCATCCGCTGACGCCTCTTTCCTCTTCTTACCAACCATTTCCTTACCCTCCTCATCATCACTGTCATACTCCGGCGGCAACCTCTTGACCGCCACCGTCGACGCATTCCTAACTAAAATTCCATCTCCCAACCTAAACCTCCCATCCACAAAACGCGGACCTACCAAACTCCCATTAAAGCAATACCCAACATTTCTTACACCAGAAAGTCCAAAACATTCGGATTTTCTCACTGTTTCTCTCAACCGATCGTCGGAACTAAAATGGTAACTCGCCGGACAGCTAAAACATCGGGAATCAGAAGAGTGGAGTGCATCGGCGATGGACTGGAAACTCTGAAGAGAACGAGTTGACGAAGGATTGAAGTAGTAAGAAGCCAATTTATTCCTTCTGAGAATTGCTCTGGCAGCCATTTTCTCATTTCTAGAGAGAATTTTTTGAGAAAATAATAATAAGAGAGGAGCAAGGAGGAGGGTTTTAGAGGGGGATACAGGGGAGGGTGTAGTTATAGTGTGAGGTAAGGGTGCATGGTTGTGTAGTGAGGTGGCAGGTTATGCCGCTGGATTTTGTACGAGGATTGGCTGTTCGGTGTCAAGATGTGACAGTTGTCAGTCAAAGACGTAATCTTGAACAAAAAGGCCGGATTTTTTATTTTTTATTATTTTTCTTTTTTGTATTCTTTGTTTTTTCCGGTTTTTATTTTTCCAGTAGAAGTGTCCTCTTCAGCAACAAGACAGGAAGTTTCTTTGTTTTTTTTCCTTGCTAAATTGAAGAGGATCTAGCATGGATTGTCAAACCGAGCTAGGAATTGGCTCGGTAAAATCTAATCATGAACCTCTATATATAAAAGAGTTTTTTTTTTTTTTTCCATTTTCTCTAATCCTATCCATATTATTTGTTGACAGCAGCGCAAAGAAATCACAGCATTGAGTTATGTGGACCAAAAATATGAAGTAAAATTTCTATTTCAAGCCATGCGAGGAGCGCATATTATGCATCCAAAGAAGCATGAGAACAAGGGGCAGCAACTCATTTTCATTTCAAGCCCCAAGCCTTCGTCTCCTAGATTCATTCTAATTAAAGAAAATGTATGACTATCAGTGTGTGATATGAAGCTCCGAAACTCTTGATTTCTTCGACGATAATCTCCGGTCTTCTACCATGTTTTTCCTTCTTCGGAACGCATCTGAAGGCCTCGTGTCATTTCCTGCACACGGTAAGCAATAATCATATCAAACATTGAATGGGAACGATGAGGTATGACACAGTGGTCTATGGAGAGACTATAAATTGCTGCTTCGGAGATGCAGGGCTAGAGATGCATACCATGGAAGCTTAAAGGTATCTTTCAACCATCCTTGTTTTGAACAGTTGGAACAGATTTTGTCCAGTCTTGTGATGATCTCAGAAAAGGTTGGTCTGACCACCAGGTTCTGAAAGCCAACATTCATCAATCAACCTACATGAAGATCAAGATGGTTCCCACAAAATTTTAGGCTACTCCCTTGAGGTTCTTCCACTCATTCTTAGTTGTGGGACAACTTTCTATTCAATCTGCAAAAATAAAATTGAGGACAGGATTCAGACTTACTCTCTTAAATCTGGAGGGTAGCTTCTTGATTTGATCTTAAATGGTGGTCTCTGGTTTTCTAAGCACATCAATTTCACGGCTTCTCCAGGAGACTTGGGATGGAAAGGCTGCACTCCCTCAAGCATCTAAGCTCAAACAAAAAAACAAATACAGGAAAAGACCTGCTCAGCGCTCAAATCCTCAAGTTAAACCCATCCACTGTGCAAGGAATAGCAGTAATACATGTGAAGGAAACAGGAAACTAAAGCCAGCTTGCCAAATTAGATGGCAAAGTACCTCATACAAAAGGACTCCGAAAGAGTATGCATCGACGCTTCTATCAAATATTTCATCTTTATAAATCTCAGGTGCCATGTATACATCTGCAAAGCAACACCATAACTTAAATTCAAGTCAAGAGTAATAACTTCAAAGTTGCTTGCTGTTCGCAACGCATAATGAGATAGGTGAGAGTTCTACTCTTGAAAGTATGCGGAAAAAACAGCTAGGAACCACTACTGCTGTGAGCATATTCAGTATGTTTGATGTTTCATCCTTACAAGAACACCCTAGACAACATTGAATATTGTAAAAAAGACTTACTTGAATGGTCAATAATAGTCCCTGGAGCTACTTTGGCTTTGTCAGGTGAAATGTTTGACAACCGTATCAAACCAAATCCAGCTACCTTCAATAGACCACCATCATCCAGCAAAATATTTCTGGCACCTTACCAAAATTTCCAATATTACAGAACAGTACATCTTAGGAACCACAAAACAGCTTGCAATTTACACATCACTTTAACTTCTGCATTTGTTGTCTTACCTTGGCTTTAAATCGCAATGGATGATCGGATATGGCTTACATTCGTGTAGGTAGTTTATGCCCCTGATAACAGAACACCAACCAACACATCTTAAAAATGGAAAAGATAAGAGACTTCTTTAGAGGAATGTAAAAGAGGACTATCATCTACTGGAAGCACTCTTAACTAATCTCTCCGCACTTGTGGACATGATCTGTGCTGTGTATTTCAGGGACAAATACAGAATTCGGTAATTGAACAAGCAAAGTTTTTTTATTCAAGAATTCAAACTTGCCTAGCAATATCAAGAGCAAGTCTCAAAGCTTTAGATGGGGAAAACCGCCCTTTCTTCTGAAGATAACTTGCTAGGTCACCCTGAAATATAGAATTAATACAGTTAAAACTACAGAAAGAAAGCACTGAGCCTTAGTATGTACATATATCTGTGAACACAGGAGGAGGAGGAGGAGGAGAAGTATGCTTACTTTTGAATGATATTCTGCTACAATCATCAAGGGAAAATTTTGGGTCACAGCTCCAACAAACTGAATCAAATTCGGATGTCGAACTTTTTCTAATAAGGTTAGCTCATGTTTGAAAGAATTTCTGTCATTCAATGCCAAAAAGGGATAAAGAAACATTAGGGGTAAAAAACCCTCCATGTCTTAGAACCCAAATTACTTAGCCACAATCAGCAGAGTGCAAAGCAATTGAAGCAGCGTAAAACAAGTTTAATTATGTAAAATGACATGAAATTCTGAACTGCCCGTGCTCTATCTCAAGCATATGTATTCATTTGTCAGTCAAAGGCAATCTAACCAGGCAGTTTAATCAGTCACAAGTAAACATGCATGAACCTCTGTTTCTTTAAAAACCAACTCGAAATACCAGCGGCAATTGTTAGTATCATACTAAGATCACGAGTGAGCATGGAAGAATGGTTATTCAAGATGAATCAAAATTCAAGACTTGATTCCGAAACCAGGAAAAAAAAAAAAAGGGAAGGGATCACCTACATGCTCTCAGGGTCTGCACAACGTTCCTTTTCAAGTATCTTCACGGCAACCTTAGTACCATTCCATTTAGCAACTTGATACATTCCCTGTTATAGAAGTTACAGACTTATAATCATGGCAGAACATCACAGGAAATAGTTAACAACATAAGTTAAGAACTTGATGTTATTGAGGTTACACCTCTTTATTTGCTTTTGTTAAGGAACAGAGGATCTGCCAATCAAACTCTATGTTGGTTTACCTAGCTTTGATTTCCACAAGATCATCTACCAACTACCAACTAAACTACAATAAGCCAAACAATATTTCTTTTCAAGCATCATTAAGAGCTAACAGTTGACAAAAAAAAAGTTGTCATTACAAGCACAAATTACTGAAATGGAAGGGGAGTGGAACCATGCCTTTGCAATGCCATCAGCTTTTCGAACTTGAAGTTCCAATGGGTTAAGCTCATACTCTGGAATTTCTCGAGGATTTGCCACAGCCATAGGTGTCTTCCTGGTGGTTTTCTGAAATAATCCCATATACGTAAACACCAAATCTCAAACATAAACAGAAGATTTAGGAAAATCAAAGAAATATCTGGACATTTTTACCGGGGCTTTAGCTCCTCTTGCCTTCAAAATGTTAAAAACTTCAACATTCCCATAATACTTGGCATCGGCACACACCTATCAGCACACAAAAAAAAACCCCAATTTCACAAACTAAAACATAACAAAACCAAGTAATATAACACTTGGAGCGAGGCTATGAAAATGTAACTTCTCATTATCCGTTTGTTTTAGCTTGGATACCAAGCCAATTCGGCACGGTGGCCAGCTATCTTTTGCGCAAACTGATTAGAGAATACTAATATATTACCGTACTGCCCCATCGATCACGAGCATCGATATTAGCCCTGCGACTCAAAAGAAGCTTAACAACTTCAACATGACCTTCACAAGCTGCAATATGCAGAGCAGTTCTTCCATCCAAATCGATACTATTAACATCAACACCTTCATCCAACAAATCTTCAACTCCTTTAACGTCTCCTCTACTCGCCATGAATAACAACTGCATTGTGGAATCCAGATTCTCCGGTACACTCAACTGTGCATGATCATGAAGTGGACTTCTCCGTATTGGATCCAAAGAAGACTGTCTTCCAAAGCTAAACCTCAAGTTATTCCTCCTGGGATCGAGGGAAGATTGTCGTGAGAATTGCCTGCTAAGTGACTTTCTCAATGATCCTGTCGAAAACTGACGTGAGATTCCTCGCTTTAGTTGGTTCGCAAGTCCTTCCATGCTTGCTTGAGGGATCGAGAGCGATGAGGAAACACTCTCGATACCTTGCTGCGAAAGGAGGATGGGCTGGAGGAAGATGAAAAGAGAATGAGATCCGAGATAGATGGGAGGGGAAAGAGAGGGGGAGAGGATTTCGTGGATTGAGAATGAACGATAAACCTGTTACTTATACTCTGTGCGTGTATCCATATCTATATATATATATTTCTGAATTGTGGTTATGGGTACCGCCTGTCTGTGGGCTGTATATGAGTTGGGCGTGTTGGACGCGGCAAAAGAGTGAAGTGATGTCTTTCAACTTATCGCCATGAGTTCACTAAAAAGACTTGGTCATCATTAGTTTTTTTATTATAAAAAAAAAAATTCATAGTTATTAAATGTTTTTTTTATTCTGTTCTTGGACCGAGTCTAACATCTTTGAAACCAAGATAATAATTCCAAGAAAATCTATTCTAGGTGGTGTGATATAAGATTTAATATAATTAAATAAGAATAAAATGCGATAAGCGGTAAGAAAGTAGCAGAAAACTAATGATAAGTGGCACCTTGAATCTTGGGTAAAGGCCAATTATCACGCTGTCTTGTTTCACACCTCCATGGTTGCTAAAGCAGGAGAAGATTCGAGCTGGCAAGTGGCTGATAAGACATATACAGTGAGACAGACCGCAAGGCAGTGTTGAAAGCTTATAGACAGCAAAGTCTTCATGGACATGCCACGACACCATGGAGAAGCCTCGTATGTGAAGGAGGCAATATGCACTCACCTCCTCAAACAGTATATTAAATGCCTGTCCCTTTCGTCCTCGAGACAAGATTATCCATCTCTCTATAATGCCAGGACTCGGTAAAACATCATAGTGCAATACGTCTCATAATTTGTGATTTACAATAATTGGAAATCCTTTTCCTGAGTGTTCTTGCATCAAATCAATTAGAGATTTAATAAAATTGCAATTTGAGCATTGGTTGATGCTTGCCGACATCCTAGTTGTACAACTCCCGTGTTCAGCTGTTCTAGTCTAATCGGTACGAAAAGCTTTTGTGACTTTATGTCACATCACCCATCGACAATGGCGTTTTGGACTCTAGGAAGGAATGGCTTAGATTCTCAAAATAAGGCCACTTGTTGGAGTAGAAAGCGTTGTTACTAAACCCTAATTTGGATCTGGTCGACTTAAGATTTAAGTTTGGGATTTGTGCAGGCTAACATGCGAGATGACACGTTAACTTAAGTTATGATAGTTTTTAAAAAAATTAACTTTAGAAAACATTTTGAAAAAAAAAAAAAACATGAAATATCTGATTTTTTTATTTGTTTTTTCGTTTTAAAAAACTATACTTTAAATCCCTAATTAAACTAAAATTTTAAAGCATATAAAATAATACTGCTGACCTCATATATAATATATTGCAAAACAAAACAATGAAGCACTTACTCTAACTCTCTTATGCATCATTTCTCTCTCACTTTGATCAATTAACAAATAACACGCACATTGTTCACTGAGTTAGAGTTGTCGAGTCACTCTTGGCCGATTTGTAATCCTCAAGTCACAAAGCCAAGTGGATCTTCACTCGTGGATTTTTCAAAAGAGATAATAAAAAATAATAATTTGAAGTAAAATCCAATTCAAGCTAAGCTCCAGGTCAACCAGTCACTAGATTAATTTGTCGGTTGAATTTTATAACTATAGTTGAAAGATAGGAGGCTTTAATGCCACCTTACTTGGCATTATTCATGGAAGGAGTAGGCATGAAAGTAGGAATCCATTGCTGAAGAATCCCAACAGGAATGAAGCCTAGTTGCATACAATGAATGGTAAAGAATGATTCACGCCGTGCAAACCTCTCCATTTGATTTTTATGAAGATACCAGTGAGAAAAGTAGAATCATATCCAAGTCCATGTTTGATTTTGTTCATATTGACAGAAATATACGACAAACATTATGTAAGTTCAGCTGAAGAGATTTCAATCAGTCTCAATAATGAAGAACTGTTAAAACATTTGAAGAGATTAATGACTCATCGACTAATGGCATCAGAGCTCAACTCTTGAGAGACTTTTGGGTCAGACAAGCACACGATGGCCATGATGATATGGTTGTGAATGGATAGTAGAACAGAGAGCAATGCTTTCCTGTTTTCTAAAGCTCCCATGCTGTTAGCTGCATCTCAGAGTTTCGAATCTAGCACTTACCTCAATTTATTTTCGCATTTCTATCTTAACGGTTGAATATCAGGATCATTAATCGATATGGAGACCGGACCGAGTCTCTAGGGCATCACGCATCATGACAATTCAACTTCCATACAACTTTTAGACTGCCATCTTACAGTCAAGTATCTCTAACAAAAGATGAACTCCCAAAATATCATTTGTTGTATAATCCAAATCATGCATCAAAAAAATCTCAAAACAAAATTAAATCAAAACAAGGAAGTTTGTCAAATATCTCAAAACAGGAAAAGTTTCGAACTTAAAATAAAAAAAAAGGGATTGAATTATCATAGCTGACGAAAGATCTTCTGCAATCATTTTATTTACACGGAACAAACAATGCTCATAGTCGCTTACTGAACAATTCAAATTTCTTCTCAAATTAAAGGACTACCCAAAGACCGAGACATAATTTGAACAGTGAATCTAGTATCCATAGAAAACAGCTCACAAGATTGATAGGTTCAAACAGCAAACAATAGGGACAAATTTGCAGCTGCATGCATGAAGCACTCTCTATCATCCGTTTTCTATACTGAACAAGATAATCTAGATTTATGGCAGTAAATAATTTGATGGACATTAAAATTCTAGCCTTAAAACACTTTCTTGATGAGAAATCACAAGAGCTACCAGCATTTGAAAGTTCAAAGCTGCATGCCAAAATAAATGAACCAAACAAAGAAGATAGCTGCAAAACTACTTTCTGCGCTTGAGTGGACCGGTCTTGTACCCACCTTTAGTTGGCTTGCCCCATGGTGTTTGTGACACCCTTCCCAAGGACCCACTACTTTTGCTCCGACCCTCACCACCACCATGAGGATGATCTACTGGATTCATTGCCACTCCTCTAACAGTTGGTCTTCGACCCAACCACCTGCTCTGTCCAGCCTTCCTAAGCTTTCGATCCTTGTGGCTTGGGTTTGAGACCATGCCAATTGTAGCCCGACACCGAGAATCAATCTTTTTCACAACACCTGAAGGCAGCTGCACCACGGTGATGGTTGGTGATGGCTCTTTCAGAATCTTTGCACTAGTACCTGCAGCTCGAACCATCTTCCCACCTTGACCAGGGTTCAACTCAATGTTATGTATTATCGTTCCAATACGCATAGCGCCAAGAGGCATGCAACTTCCAATTTGCGAATTGATATCGAGATGCAGCAGTTGTTTCATCATGTCCCCACGCAGTGAATTAGCATTCCCAGCTACATCTATCGTAAGAACAAAAAAAGAAAAGAAAAGGAATGATCTCATTTAAGCTAATAATAACACATCATAAGAAAGAAAGATATTGATCCATCATGACAGCCTTATTAAATTTTTCCTCTTTTTGAAAAGTAGCAAAACTAAAAATCAACAACAAGATTCAAACTTTCCACTTCCCTTTATTCCTTGATACGTTCTTAAAAAGACCTTTTTCTAATTAACAATGTCATCTCAATTTTTACAATTTTCCATCCATCTGCTCTTTTGACTGAAATAATGTTAGTTACGTATTTTGAGTTCAACTTGAACTGGACATTAGCAAGAAGGCATTTAATTGGCACTAATGTTAAGATTTTTGTAAATCCAAAAGCTAACTATTAAAAAGAAAGCCCTCTCTTCAATAAGCTTAATAAAATTATAAACTCTACAATTCCCATTTCTCTTCTTCCATTTCTCATAAACCAGACAGCAAATATCCTAAAAAAAATCCCATCTTTTTCCATGCCTCAATTCGCTAAGTCACCATAATAACACCACAAAGTTTGCTTCTTTTTCAATCCCTCATCCATTTCCCTTCTCATAAAACTACCTACTAAAAAGAAAAGAAAACAAACTACTCTCTTCAATAAGCTTAATAAAGACTTAACCAGAACGGGTGTTGTCTATTTTCCCCTTTGGCATTTACCAAAGCTCCAATTAGATGCAAATCAATTCAGTTCCCATTTTGATTCATTAATTTCTCAGCATACAAAACCTCAAAAACCTCATCTTTTTCTATGCCCTTGACTCAACATGTCAACCATTTTGACACCACAAAGTTTACTCCTTTTCCCATCCCCCTCCACATATAACAAAACCCACTTTTCATTCTTATCAATCAAGCCGAAAAACAATTGAATTTTTAACAAAAAAGAAGTTAATAAAGAAACTGAATCTGATATGAGAAAACCTGGGATTTAATAACTGAGAGTGAAAGAAAGAAAAAAAGTAGTACTGGCGGAGAAAAGGCGGAGAAAAGCAGTGGTATTGGTGATGTTGCTGCTGCTGTTGATGTTGTTGGGATGTTGAAGGACCCTGTTGAAGAGTGAAGAAGAAGCTGTGCGAGCTCTGCTCCATAGAGCCATGTTTTCCTGTTCTTTGGAGAGATCTCGGGGTCTAGCGGTGCACAGAGGTTTTAGAAGTGTTTTAGGAAGGTAATGAAACGACACCGTTGTTTCTTATGTCAGGTCTCGGGTGTTTTTTCATAATTATTAGGGCTAGTTTGTAATATTGCATATAATATAAAAGGCATGGCTGTTTTATTGTAATAGTAAGATTTTTGAAAACTTCTCATTTGGTCCTTGAATGTTGTTTTAATGCAATTGAACTCAAATCAGAGTCAAATTGAGTATTTTTTATGCGTGAGGGTTGAATTGAAAGACAGGGAACTGAAATACAAAATAAAAGTAATATGGGTGGCACATTCAAATTTATTTGCAAAGTACATTTTGATTTTTTTAGGCAACAAGGGTGACTAGCCTTATTCTTTTCCTTTTTTTTTTAGTTTTTTTTTATTTTTTAAATAATAATGCATTGTTTGACATGTTATTTTAAAAAAATAAATAAATTATGAGTTTATATTTTAATTAGAATGTGATGATTTTTTTAAGGTTATAATTTTTAAAAAAAGATTGAATAAGTCAATTAATAGGTAAAAGGATCACTAAATTGCTAAAGGACATATTTTTTATATGTCATGCATGTGAGAAAACAAAAGGTAATGCATATATAGCATAGTCGTTGCCTCGTGTG